TACGCGCCACGGTGAAAATATGCATTGGGGTACCATCATGCATTAACCACATTTCGAAAACACACCTTAGAGGTCATGCTGCAGGAAAACAAGTTACATTCCTCCGTTGAGGCGTTTGGGCAGAAGTACGGGCTTGACAGGTAACTAGCGAGTTGCCTTGTGTTGACACGAGACATGCGTTGTGTTTCTTGCTGGACATTAATGTTAGAACTTTCTGTTGACCACGTATGTGCAGTATGCATATAATGCTTTCCACGTGAAGCCTGCCTCATGAAAGAATAAAACATTGGCTGAAAATCAAGGATTATTTTGGATGGCATCAAATATCCAACACACAAACTCTACCTGATGGGGATAGTCGTCTTCAGCTAGATATTGTATGTTATGTACGTCAAAAGATAGCATGTTTTCAGCATGCAGAACAACCGCCTGCCGCACATCGAGTTCAGCTCCAACTAATCATATACCTATCAACAGGAATCAGCAAACTATTGCAGTATACGTTATTCAGGTGTTCAAATACTACGATGTTACCCTACACCACACCATATTACTTTGAAGAATCCCGTTTCCCATTGTCGTCGATCGATCTTGGCGGAAATGGTATTGTGTGGATAACGCCTTCTCGGATATTGTTCTTGTTATATTCGCTTGCTAAGCAACCATTGCCATGTGTTGGTCGTAAATGAAATGTATATCATTAGCATTCCTCATTCGTGAATTCAGCCATAGCTTTCTAAGTGAAACAGACAAGTAACTGTTTCGTGTGATTTCCACCGCAGGGGCAGTACTGCAACTTGTACTCATATCTTAGCGTATGCACCGTACTTGACGTTGCTTATGTCAAGCATGGTGCGCAAGTCACGAGCGAAATTAGCGATCATTCGATTGCCGCATTCCATGTTCTTTCTTTAGACAGTGCATGAATATTTCATTCTGCCTTCTGCCGTTGAGTGGGAAGGAGTTCTTTACCTAATGCTATAAGGTATTTTCTCCCTCCTTTCTGCAAGCCTTCGTGGTGTAATTGGAAGCATACTCGACGCATATTCGAGAAATGCAGGCTTCGAGTCCCGGCGAGAGCATTGCTGATTTTCCCCCTCTCCTGCTTCAAAAGCCTAATGACTCTACACATTTACCAACCGTATCAAAGTCAGGCTTTCACGTATGTTCTGAGTAGTAAGCCGCGGAGGCACCACCCAAGCTTCTGTTGTGAATCTTGCCTTATTATTATTTTTATTTTCAGTCTTACTTATGCGAGACATACAATCTGTATAAACCTTTAGACTGAGCGAGTGCATGGCGAAATGAGACATAAAAGAAAGAATCTTTATAAAGCTAATTGTTATAAAATTTAAATAAAAGACTATAAGGTATTTCTCCCGCCTTCCTAGCGTGCCTTCGTGGTTCTGCACGCTGAGCCGATATACCAGAATCCCGTTTCCCATTGTCGTCGATCGGTTCGATTCCCGGCGAAGGCGTTGCTATTTAACATCTTTCCTGCTTCCAAAAAATACCTAATGTCTCTACAAGGTCACGAATCTTTTTTTCAAGTACGTGGACATGTTATAATTGTGAAATAAAAGTGCTTCAAGAAATTTTATAATTTAATGCTAATAACTTTAAAAAATTTAAAGCTGATTTTATTGTTGAATTTGCTTTATAATTGAGTTAAATATTAGATTATGTGTAATAATAATGCATACTACTTCCAGATTTATACAAATTACAAAGATTTCTTACAAATTACAAAGGTGAAGTTCATGTGTAAATAACTGCTTTAGTTTATTCCATTGCGCTTGTATCATATGTCATTAAATCTTTTCATTTGATGGTCCTTAAAAATGCGTAATTTCCATTTGCAGAAATTTTACGAGCCCTTTATACAGCCCAAATGGATGACGACCCAACTAACTCAGAAAATATGGGTAACCACATCGAACCGTGTATTCATTTGATCTTACAAAAACGCATCAAAAATACGGGCTCAGATATTATAGCTGTAAAAATACGATCCTTTTCTTTCACTAAAAGGAGACCCTCCATTATTACAGATAACTCGACCATTGACAAACAAATGCAAATGCTTGCTAATATGAACAAAGAAGCGTTGCTACTCAGAGAAGAAGAAGCGTTGTAGCCGAAGTTTAAATTCGATTAGTAATGCAGGCTTGATGCTTTCTAAACCCGTTAAATCTAAAAGTCTTCAAACCCAAAAGTACAAAGCTAAAAATGATAGTGCTAAAAAAACTACCATTCATTCTGATAAAAACGGTTTCTACCTGCTACAAAAACCCGAAAACGCTCTAATGATAATGAGACTAATATTCCCACAGAAAACAAATTCGAAATTCTTAATAGTTACATAACTCCTGAGGTAACATCGACTTTGCAAGACCAGCAGCAGTCTACCATGAGTAATTTCCCATGGATCCCACTAATTGTAGTGAGTCACGCTTTATTGACACAAGGGAAAAAGAGTTCCTTGTGTCAAAGCAAAGTTGCACAATCTACAGAAGCAAAATTTCTTGGAAAAATTAACGGAGAGTACCTCAAAATTCTTTTCACCCAGAAAACGGCCAGAGTAGTGACAGTACAATTAGTGACTTTTTCCCGTGAAAATAACCTTGAACGTTACGTAATAAACGTAAAACACAAAAGACCCATCAAAGAAGCAATCGGACGACTTCCTATCATCACCAGCAAAAATAATGCATCCCAAGCTTTCAAAAAAATCTCTCAAAAACCGAGAGACAAAAGCTCCAATGCCTCTGCTGATGCCAATATCAAACGTAGAAAAATATACGACGTTTAAGACATCATGTCTGGGTCTCAGTATCTCAGTGTCTTGGATTCTCAGTATCTGTCGAAAAATACATTGCTGAAAATTCTGTTCCTGAGTGCCATAATTGTCAGAAGTAGAATCTGTCTTCTGACAACTGCTTTTTGCAATCACTTTGTGTAAAATATTCTTTACCCCATAAAACAATAGATTGCTCCTACAAAGGAAAGGCAGAGCACCCCAGTTACCTAAATGCAGTAATTGCCTATCACACCACTCTGCATCGATCGTGCATGTCTTAAATTCTCTAAAAGTAAGCCAGTTAATAAAAATTTCATCATACCGTTTATCAGCTACTCACAGGCACGTAAATCGCGAACTCCCAGCCCCAATTGAAATAATGATAGACCCTGATAATAGCAATAACTTAGCTCCCATCATAAATTCAGCAGAAAATAATAATTACAAGAACAAAATGGACTTAATGGAATTCTTCAGTCACTTCCAAAAAATTAATAACTTGCTAGGCACAGGCAAAATTACAGTCATAATTTAGATATCCTCGGGATCTGTAAAGACCCACTAGATAAAATGTGTACATTTTTCGAGATCTCCAACGAAATCAATGATCCGCTAATTAACTTAGCAATATCTGCGTAATTTAATTATTTGCTCCATCGAATTCTTCATACCTTATTAATTATGCCTTGATAATATACTTTGTTATTCATTGTTCTGCGCATTCTTATTAATTGCATTGCCTCTTCTCTTCCTCCCCTATATTTTTCGGCTATTTTCCGAAAATTTTCTGGTTATCTGAAACAGTCTGTATTCCTCCTCACCTCACCGAAGCCTGCATTACTTCGTTTTCCCCCATAGCTCTTAACCCATAGCCGATCTTCTTAACCCATAGCCGAAGTTTCGGATAATCACATAACAGTAACTCCTTCATTCAGCAGTGCACTTGAGTTGCACGCCAGCACGCCTAATATTTCGGAACAGTAACTCTCACAGAGAATTAATTGGTTTCTTCTAATGGTTATTGTCACACGAAATTAAGCGTGCCTTTTCTCAGCTGCATCTCAGCGTGTTAGCTGTGAAAAAGATATGGTCTAAGTATGCACGCAGTTCTACACTGAATGGGGTAATAGCGCAGAAGCCTAAATTTCGTGAAGCTCGTTCACCTTAAGTATTTTGGCGATTTCACTGGCTGAATGTAATTTGCGATAATATATTCCATACCATGGCAATTTTTATTTTTTTATGCTTGCTGTCAGCCATCTGAGTTTCTCAGCGCTTTCACAGAACATTCTTATAATAGAGACTTCAAAAGACATTTGCCTAAAACGGAAAACAATCTTTTATTAGTGTTTTTTCTGTTAAATATAATTTTGTGTTATCATTACTAATATGTGTAGTGTTTTACCGAAACAGAAAAATATCACAATCATTGCTAAAATGCACTGTGTTCAGTTGTGTGTTTTTATTATTTCAGTTTTTATTTAGCCATGAAATATTATTAAAGTGCTATATAAGCTCAATGAATAATATTCAGTTATCTTACTTTCCTAATGTTTGCCATAAAGTTTCCCATATGATATATGAAGCTAAATCTTCTACATAAGTTCTGTGTACTTGTCCAGTTGCTTTGTAAGAGATCTAGATAAACACACTATGTTTGTCTGAAAGCTTTAAATGTTCTCCTGGAAATACTTTATATGGATATATTACAAAATGTGATATACGTCTAGTTTAAGAATTTTTTAATTAAATTGTGTAAACAGAGCTGATAGTTTAGGTAAATTTTTATAATAAAATTGTTTGTATTTTTTCAGAATTAATATATTTTTCAGAACTAAAAGTATTGATTTCGTTCAATTTTTCGATTTACTGTAAAAAAAATTAAGTACTGTGTAAAATTTTGTAGAATCTGTTTCATTGTTTAAATCGTAAAATATGTTAATACGATGTGTGGAGGATAGTTTAAGTAAACTAAAAATTAAGCTTTTATTTGTTTTGAAATTAAAGTAAATTGAATATTCCCAATAATAATGCATTAATTTTACGCTAATGACACAATTAGTTAGTGCAGTTTTGAATTTTTAACCTATTCAAGCTGTACAATAATTTAACAAATCTGCAAGTGGTTGACCTCATATTTTGTCATTATTATTATGATGACATATTAATTTTTTTTTTTTTTTTTTGTTGTTACTTATAGGAAATGAATATGGAGCTTCACAAATTTGACGAACTGGACTCATTAATTAGAGGGATTCATTATATCAAAGCATATAATGAACATGAATGTTACTACTGGGTTGACCCAACTGATGACACAAAATGCAGAAAAGAACATTTTGATTTGAATAATTTATATCCCTTTTTAGTGGTAAACATTGGTTCAGGAGTTAGCATGCTTGCTGTTCATTCACCGGATAATTTCAAGAGAGTTACTGGTACAAGGTATGAATAGAACATTCTGATGCATTTTAAACAAAGTTTTTTTTTTTTCTTTTTTCCACAATTTGTATAAAATTTTGTGTCATATGCTTAAGATAATGTTAAATAAAGTACTTATGTAAGTACAAACTGTATATTTTTCTGAAAGTGATAGTTGAAAGTGAACAAACATTTGCCTATTCAACGTGACAGTTTTTTAAATATTTCTGCATTAAGTACACCTTATTTGCCCATTACAATACTCTTCTTTGCCTCCCTTAAAATACCTTTCTGATATAAGTGTAGTTTAACATTTTAAAACTATGTTGCGTTATTTTTCACTTAATCTTTAAATTTTATGCTGAAAGAAATCTTATTTTTTTTTTTAAGCTAAGCAGTAGTATTTAAACCATTTAGCATTGTCATAAGAATCCTCAACATATCAAATTTTGAAAGCTGACCTTGTATGAAACAATATTTTTTTTCCCCTTAGTTAAGTTGTTTTACAAAACAACTGCAGAGTCATGCTGTATTCAGACCAACATATTAATTTGTATATAGAAATTTTTATTTTGTGTTATGTAAGTTCTTCAAAGGGAATTCTGTGCAATATTTAATGTGGAAGTGTTTTATGTAATATATTAAAGATATCATGAAAAATGTTGTATCAATATTTCTTATGCATACTTTGTAATAAAATTGTATTCAGTCTAGGTGGAGGAACATTTCTTGGACTGTGCTGTTTACTTACTGGTTGTGAATCTTTTGAAGAAGCTATTTCTTTAGCAGAAAAAGGTGATAGTACTAAAGTAGATAAGTTAGTACGTGATATTTATGGAGGTAGCTATCCAAAATTTAATCTTGAAGGTGACATAGTTGCCAGTAGGTAATGTGTATTTTTGATATAGTTTTATTATTTTTTAAATGAATGCTGTTTTATAATTAAGTAGCAGTTTGTGAATAAAATCAAAGTGCATTGCATGGGTATTGGTGTGTATTCCTTGAAAATCTGAAAAATTCCCTAGGAAATGAATTTTGGTATTTAACACATTCATTGCTTTTCTAGCGCACCTGTTGATTACTATTTGCCCTTAAAATTAAATAAAGGGAAAAAAAGACAAGTTCATGAAAAACTTGTTTATTTTTATTTACTTAATTATATAAACAATAATAATCAATTAGTTGTGAAATTATCATGCCTCATATATGTGCAAGTCCTGTTTGGATTAAAGTATATCAAAATATTGGAAATCATCCAACCTGTGATATTTTTCAAAGCAAAGCATTGTGCATAAGGCAGATTTTGATGTGCATGTTTTCCACAAATTGCTGGTTTCTCATGGAATTCGATGAGAATCTCAGTGAACATTCTTATATATTAATATAGCTTTCCAGGTAATGTTTTTCTCCTATCTGCTGCATATCCAAAAACTTATCATGTAAAAAATAAGAAGTACTAAAAGCCGATGATGTACCTTGCATCCACTAGACTTGAGCAATGATTGAATATTTCATGTGAAATCAAATCTGCAGCCGTTTTCCACCGACTTTTAGTGAGCAGTAGTGACCAGTTAAAATCCCATTGAAGAAACTGCACACACGGTTAAAAGTCCATACAATTAAATGCTTACATTGAAAGAAGACCACACTAATGCCCTAATGAAAAAGTCCACACTGAGATTTATGCCACATATGAGAAAGTAAATTTATCAGTATTTCCCCCATTGATCTTCCTCCTCTCTCTCTTTATTTATATATATAACTAATTAAAATAAAAAGAACAAACGAGAAAGGACCTATGTAGTCAAAAACTTTGCACATTGAGCTGAAAATTTAGAAAAAATTAAAAGAAATTTCCTAGTTCGTACGCTAAAAAGTTTCTTAGATACTGTGGTTCCGTGAAAATATTAACATAGGTAAAATAAGGTTGCAATGAAATGGGTAATAAAGATAAAATAATAGAAACAATTGGATATTTACAAATAAAATTAAATACTAATTGTAAGCAATATGCTAATCAAAGTAAGGCATATTTTAAACATAAGAATTAAAGTGCGACAAATGATTAAAGCAAAAATATAAAAACTAAGAAGTGGTAAATGGTAGATTAGCCTAATTCGAATTTCATTATGGCTCTTCAGGGGAAATTATTTTTAATGACTTTCGAATCAAGCTAACTCCATATCGCGTTTCGCCGAAACAGACAATTGACACTGGATACGAAACACTTTTTATAAATTAATTGAAAAAAACTTTACCAAAATCTTTAGTTTCAATTCTCTGTTCCAATTTCCCGACGAGTCCGCTTGAAGAAACACATTAAGGTATAATAAAAACTATAGACAATGGATTGGTAATGCCGATGTGCAAAATAAAATAAATAAGCGATTTGCTATTAGTCAAAATATACAAGTTTTTATGGGAGGAACTACTAGCTTATAGAGTTTAAACTTTGTAAAAGTACTAAAATTAAATTTAAAATAATAAAAATAATAAAACAGATGAACTTAAGGTAAGGGTCTTGCTAAGACCAAAAATCAACACAAGAGAAAGAAATATTATTTTAAAAACCAGACTTCAGACTTGGAAACCGACGTCTTCATAGCAGGAAAGATTAAACTCAAAAGAGGGTGCAAATATATGAATAAAATAAAGTAAAAAGCAATTCAAAACCTAATCCATTTGCATGCTGAAATCATCAACAGGTGGTGGTAATAATGCAAAATAAATTAAAATAAAAGATACATTTAAAGTCTGTCCTATATTCAGTGTGAAATAAACCATATGCAAAAAACAAAAACCACAAACACACTGGCAAAGAGCATGAAAGGGACAATAAATGCCAAAGCCAAAAATGAAGAAAGACATTTACATCTTTCACTACATCGGTCATCAGGGGTTTCTTGCAATGAAAGAAGTAAATAAATTAGCCTCTTTCTGAACCAACACAGACACAAATTATAGTGCTTAAAATAATCTTAAAAAATCAATCAAAGTAATATGTGTCTTTATCAGTTCAGCTTCTATTGGCCATAGTAAGTAATGCAAAAATTGTATAGTTTCAGAACCATAAACAAGCTTAAAGCAAACTTTAAAATATTTATTTTGAGTAGACCGAGTCAACAAAACATGAATACAAGCAATCCGATACATGAACAAATAATAACATATGAAAATTTTGATACCATACAGGTCAGAGTAATTTTTTTAAATTTTAGCATCAAAATCATAAACAAGCAAAATGCTTAAAAAAATCTATTAATGTTTGCTTTCAGTTTATGTGGACAGAGTCCAAAAAGCAAAACATGTAAAACAGAAATAATTTAACATATAGAAAAATAAAAGCATATGGAAATTGGAACTAAAAAGAATAACAAATGAAAATTTGATCTAAAAATATCATTAATTAATTAACAATCTTTTTATTAATTAATTAGTTAACACTATTATTATTAATTAATTAATGATTTTTTAGATCAAATAATTAACATTGTTGTATTTCAAAACTTTTGTTGCTCTAATGTTACAGATTTTAAGAACTGACTCTTTTTATTTTATATTTTTAGGTCAAATTTTCATTTGTTATTTTTTTGTTTCATATATTAGATGGTTTTTTTTTTTTTTTTTTTTTTTTTGTGTGTGTGTGTGTGTGTGTGTGTGTCTACTTAAATTGAATATAATTATTAGATTTTTAAGCATTTTTTGGGGGGGGGGCAAAAATAAAACCACATGCAAATTTCTTAATTCAAAATGGAAAAACAAAGTGAAGTGCAAATTTTCAAAACATACAGGCCAGGTTAAAAAATAAAAGCAAAATTCATTAACAAGCAGAAAAGCTTAAAAATCTAATGTTTTTTTTATAACTTTAGTGGACCAAGTCCAAAAATATGTAAAACAGAAGCAATCTAACATATACAAAAATAAAAAAAAAAAATGAAAATTTGACCTAAAAAATATATAATATAATATAAAAATAACAAATAGAGGAGTCAGTTCTTACAGCACACACATATTATATATCTATATATAGATACATATATGTAACGGTTTTCTTAATATATATTACTGTTAAAATGTTTGTTAAATTTCCAGGATAGTATAATCTAAATATTAAAAAAATATTGTAAAAATTTATGTTTGGAAAAAATATGTATAACTTTTATTCTTGAATTTAAACCTTGAATAAATCTGACAATGGACGTGCATAGGGGATGTTGGCCTTGCAGCTTTCCTCGAAATGTACAAAATTATAAAGCGTGTAAACTGTGTGTAAATATGGATCATGTGCAGAGAATAATTATTACTACATTATTAAATTCTTTAACAACTCCTGAAAAGATTGCTTGTATTAAATTTAATATGCAGAAAAAAACAATTAAAATTGAATTCTTGCTTCAGCGAAAGAGAGAGTATCTTAGTGAGATCAAGTCTTAATTCCTAAAATTACACTGGTGTGCAAAACTTAAGGAACAATATAAATTTTAATCAGATAGCCATGAAATTGCAGAAAAGAGGTTCTTGCGATGAGTACAATGAACACGCAATTCAGTAGAAAGTTCATACGTATGCAAATGTCAGGAACAAAACGTCACACGCGACGTGAGCGTACGCAAAACACGTGCGGTCGCCGGGCTCAACTCAAGTCTACAATAAAAGGAAGGACGTAGACGCAATTAAAGACATTCACTGCAAGTACAGGCGAGTTCTTTTGTGAAATATGGCTAAAAGAAATCACTTGGATAATTTCACACCTGGAAGAATGATGGAAAAGCTGGAGGAGGGGCGAAGTCTGATCAGTGTAGCTGAAGAGTTCGGGATGAACAAAAGTGTCGTTTCGAGCGCTTGGAAAACCTTCCAAATCATAAGTACAGCTGTTAGAAAGGTTGGTGGTGGCCGTCCCAGGAAAACAAGTGCAGTGGATGACAGATATATCGTCCTGCAGGTAAAAAGAGCCCGAAACCAGTCAGCAAGCGCCATAGCTCAGCAACTGTATACAGCAACGGCGCGACAAGTGTCGCGGTTTATTGTGTCCAGACGCCTTCACAAAGGTAGCCTATTCGCCCGCCATCCTTTATGCTGCATCCCTTTGAAAGTTGGCCATCGACGACACCGTTTAGAATGGTGCAAGGAGCACGAAAACTGCGCATCTCATCAATGGAGTCGTGTCCTCTTTATGGATGAGTGCCACAAGCGATTCTCAACGCCAGCTGATTTGGAGAGAGGTCGGTTTCATCCCAATAATGGTTTCATTCCAGGATGCCAGGATAGTAACATTCCACGGAAAGAGATCACGGTTACGGTGGTCCTTGAAGATTTTCGTCTGGGGAGGCATTATGCTGAACGCGGCGCACAGAGCTCTCTATTTACGACAGAGTTTCTGTAACCGGAGATCGCTATTGTCAGGAGGTGATCCTTCCCCATACGCGTCTGTTCTGTGGTGCCATTGGAGCAGACCGGTTTTATGGATGACAATGCACGGCTACACCGGACTCCTGCTATTCAGAAGCTACCGAAAAGTGAAGTTATCACTCGAAAGGATTGGCCAGCGTACTCCCCTGATTTAAATCCAATAGAACATGTGTGGGATGCTCTGGGGAGATGGCTTGCGGCAAGATTACATTCTCCGGGAACACCGAACAACTGAAACAGATGGTGATTGAGGAATGGACACTCTTACCTCAAGATCTGTTGGGCAGTCTGGTGCTGAGTATGGAGAGACGGTGCGAAACAACCATTGCGGTAATGGGAGGGCATATCCCAAGCTAAGGAATATCTGCTTGTTGTTCTTCCTCTTGTACAGACAGTCATGTGTAACGATATGAGTTTAATAAAGAATTTTTTGTTTGATTCTATACTCTTCGCATTGTATTCATTTTTGGGCTGATC